AATCACTCTCCTACATTCAAGTTCATTTTTCTTAAACTTCTATATGAGAGCATATTTTAGTACAAGGAATCAAACTCAGGACCTTGCATCTTCCAGGGAGGTGATATGCTGCTGAACTACATCCCCAGCTTAAACTTATCTATGAAAGAGAACACTTATTATCTGTCTTTTAGCATCTGCCTTCTTTCACATAACATAATAACCCCCAGAATCATCCTTAGTACAAGCAACAGGGTCGCATTTTTTATGGCTGAGTAGTGTATATATTTTCCTCATTTTTTGCATTTATCAACTGACTGGCACCAAGCAGACCTAATACCTTAGCTATTGTAGACAGTTTGCTGACTGTATATCCTTTGGATATACACCCAAAATAGGATATTGCACCAAAAGGGACAACTATCGGGAGGGAAGCTGTCTGTGCCTCAGGTATCTAGGTCAAGGCCACTGGCTCTTAGAGTTTGGCAGGGCCCCATGAGACATATGCACAGCTCAGAGACCTGTTACCATAGTGACTTGAGTTTGCTTGAGATAATACGCATTTCCCCCTTGTTTCCCATGAAGCCACCAAGACACGCTGGCTGTTCTGCTAATAGATATTCTTTGTAGCCCAGAGTCTACCGTCCCTTAAACTCCCCATGAACTTATTCATGTGCTGATTATATAAACACATGTGCTGCAGGTGCTGGGTAGTAGTTTGCTTTCTCCCATCAGGAAAAAGGGCCCCATCTGACCTCACCTTTGCATATTGATTCCTGTCTTTCTTCTCCCCTACCTTGCTCCCTCCAAAGGTTCAAAGGTTGTACAGGACAGTGTGCTGACAGCATCTCCTCTGTCTATACATCCAAAAGTGGGATACTGGATCACATGGTGGACCTACTTTGAGTTTTATGGGGAACCACCATACTGCTCTGCACAGCAGCTGCAGTAATTCATGTTCTTGCCAACACTGTAGAAGAGATCCCCTCCTTGGTAATATTTTTCTTGTCTTATTATTTTGTTTGGTATTTGTTTTTAACTGTTTTTATTTTTTGTGGTACCTGCAATTGAACTCAGGACCTTGTGCTTGCCGGGCAAGTGCTTATTCCACTGAGCTATCTCTCTGGCCCTCTGTCTTGTTTTTCAAGACAGGGTCTCACCATGAAGTTGAACTTGCTTATGTAGCCTAGGTTGGCGTTTTAACTCTTACCAATCCTCTTGCCTCAGCTTTCTGAGTTCTGGTATTACAGCCATGAACATCTCTAAGCCTGCTTCTTGCTAGCATTTTTTAAAAGGAGTAATGATAGCCATTTCTGGAAAGGTGATAGGGTAAATCACTGTGGTTTTGTTTGGCCTTTTCCTGATGTTAATGAAAATATGATGAAATTGGAAATACTGGATTATTTTCTGAAAAACATTAAGTTAGTTTATGAAAAGGTATGAGGGTACATTTTTGTGTGTGGATATGCATATGGTAGTTCTTAAGACTGCTTTGTGCTCTTTAACAACTTACAAAAGTGTCACTAAAACTTTGGCATTACCCAGGTCTATGAAATTTTGGTATTAGCCAGATAATATTGCAAGGTTCTATCTGTATCTGTTCAGGGGAAAAAGTAGAAAATAGACTAGTGTTCCTGATTGGTTTGGGCAGGTGGACGCAGAAGAAGGGGTCCTGAAATCCCAGGAGGGCACAGCATCCACTGTCCAGGGGAGTGGGGAAGGGAGGGCGATAACTCAGCCACTTCTCCTTGCCCCTCCCCCACCCCCAGGAGCCCTTTGTGATGAGGAGGCCACAGCTCTGTGATGCAGGCCTGGAACCTCTACTTATTCCCAGAGATAACTCTCAGGGCTCAGTTGCCCGAGAGCAACGCTGCGATTCAGACTATGGAGAATCTTCTCATTACTCTGAAAAGCCTTAATGCCGAATGGCTGAGCCCCAGCTCCACTACATTTGCGATGGATATAATCCTCACCATTGCATGTGGACTGGGGCTTTCCCTTCTTTTACTACCCTGGCTACAGGGTGAACCATCCTTACCACCATCCAGGAAGAAGAGAAGCATCAGAAAGGTAAAAAGCCCACAGCTCAGACCTAGCACAGAACAATTTTCTATCATTTTACACTTTTCTACGTCAGGAAGACAGGCTAAAAGGGGAGAACTCCAGGTAGAAGAAAACATTCTTCTTGGTTCTACCTCTGGCACAAGCAGGGAAGGCAGGAAAAGTGGCCACCATCATATCTCTGTGATGCCCTCAGACCTCGGTGTGGTTTCTTGGAGGTACCAGTGTGAAACAGAACATGATGACTCAGTAGACAAGGCCTGGGTTCCTAAGGTCGGGGGAGCTGGGAAGAAGGCCAGACCCTGAGCCCAGGCTCCTGTCCTCATCTCATGGCAGGTGCTTCTAGGCCCAGACTTTGTTCTGTGCTGGGCTGATCTGAGAGCTGTGCTGAGGCCTGAGATGACACACCAGGACAGATTCTATTTTGTTATTCTTAACTCCATTTTTAAAGTCACTTAAACTTTAGGTTAGCTGGCTCCTCTATCCCCTCTCCTCTTTGCTAACCATAGCCCTCAAAGAAAGAACAAGTCATTAAAGAAAGGAACAAACAGGTAAAACAAATTGAGAACTACATTAAATGTTAAGTTAGATATCTACCTGACCAACAAACTTCTGAGAAATGTAAACCTTGTGACAATCATATAGCATAGTTCTGAAATTGTAAAATGAAGTAATGTAGATGCCTTGATTACTTACAAAGGTATATATAAAATCAATACAAAGTCCTCCCAGGATCCGTATTCCCAGATTTGGTGTTGGGGTATCATCTGTTGGCTAAATAAAGCCTTGATGGTTCCCAATCTGTCTCTTATAAGTGTTTTCCTCATTGTTCTGCAGCAACAGAGTGAGTCCAGCCACATCCTCGGCTGCAGATGTCTGGCCTCTGAAACCTGAGATGCAGCTGTAAAAATGAAACTTTTTTGAGCACAGAATTAAAAACCCTGTAAGGAGGTCTCATTTTAGAAAGCCCTTGTGTATTTCTAAAAGGAATGACAAATGCCATTATCATTAAAATGAGTAAGAGGAAAGAAAAAAATACATACAGGCTCGTTATTTCATTGATGAGTATCACAACATTCATGAGTGCTGAGCGTCTGCATCCTGTCTGAGAGAAAGAGGAGACTCCTGCCAGGGCTTCTCACTATTATCTTTCTGTCTCAGCATCCATTGTAGATGAGGTGGAAGAGCAGGAGCAAGAAGAGGACTTGCGCTCTCAGAGGTAAGGCTCTGCCTTTCAGTCCTGCAGTCCCAGAACTGAGGTGACTTTGCCTGTCCCTAGGGGATCCAGAAGGTCAGCTAGAGAGCCCTAAGACAGGTTCTCCTGGAAAGGTTGGTACCAGGTCAGAGCTCCTCAGGCTACCTGCTCAGAAGGAAGCTATGCTAGGGCAGTGGAAAGTATCAGCAGTAGGGGGCAGTGCAGCCAGCAGTAGTCCAAGACAGCAAGGACTTGGAGGTGGGCATCCAGGCCCAGCTTTTTCCTTTCACTATGGCTGATTCCTTCCTGAAGCAACCCCATCCTTTCTCCCTATTCAAAATGACCATAGTGGGCAAAGACTATGGGAGTCTTTGTAATGACTCAGCACTGCCCATCTGGATATCATGCAGCCAGTGTCAGCCTGGGCCACAGGACCTTGACACTGATGCTTGGGTTCCAGAGACCAACATCATAGTTCTCTCCTAAAGGGAAATTCCCTTCAGCTCCTGTAAAGTTCTCCAATCCCATCGCTGCCCTTAGTTCTTGTAACCTGGACTTCTAATTCCGCTTTGTTCTTTTGTGTTTATTTTTTTTTCTTTTTTTTCTAATTCCCATTTGTAGACTTCCAGAAACACCGGAAGGAGACCCAGATCCTGACTCCTGTGCCAGAAAGGTAAAGAACTCCCCTTCTCTTCTGCCTCCTTCCTGTAGTGTGACCCTTAGATCACTGAGCAGTTTCTGTCTGACTGGGAGGTGGTGATGCTGGGACAGGGGGATTCTATGGCCCTGGTGCAAAGGGAGGGTGGCAAGAGAACAGTAAGGCCTTGATATATAGCAGTGGAGGAGCCCTAGGCATAGCTCCCTGCCCTGCGCTCCCTCCAGACCCTGATCTGGCTGAGCTAAGCCTCTATTCATTGTAGCCTCTCAAGGATGCACCCTCATCAAGATCTCCCTGCTGCTGTGCGCACAAGTCCCCCTGTGACAGCCATGCAGCCATCTAAGGAGCATGTGGATGCTGCAGCTCTGTCTCCAGTAGAGGCTGCCCCCGCTCCTCTCACTCAGCACCTTCTACATCTGGCCTCCTCTTTGTCGCCAGGCCACTCAGCACACTGCTCGGATCCTCAGTGCTCACCCACCTCCCTCACCACCTCTCAGCCCCCAGAGCCCCTGCTTCCCCTGGAAAGACGTTCACCCCCATCACTTGCACTTCCCCTCTCCCAGCCACATCCCCCTGATCCTGCCACAGTCCCAAAACCATCATGGAACATGGAAGACAGCCCAGATCAGCTGCTATGTACAGACCAGCTGTCATATTTCAAGATCCTGGGCATCCCTTTTGGGCAAAATTGGAGCCAGTTTTTCTGGGGTCTGCCTTCCCTGCACAGCGAATCCTTGATAGCTGCTGCCAGGATCGCCCATGGCCCTCCTGTTCCAAATCTTCCCACCTCCTTTTTTAACAAAATATCAAATGTTTGCGCAGTTCACATGCAGGATAAAATGTCCCTGCTGCGTTCCCAGGCCCAGGGTTCACCCTGTCTGGGACCCAGATCTCAACCCCGATTTCAGCCCCAACCTCTGGGTCATGCCCAGACTCGGAAGCATCCCCAGTCCTCTTCCCCAATCCTGTCACCACTTTGTCTGCCCTGCAACAGGGACTATGGAGCAGCTGCTTCTACTTCCCATAGTAACCCACGGTCTCTCACCCCAAATGAAATACAAGCCTCAGAAAAACTCTTGTGCAAGAAACAACTAGAGTGGGCATGGTCTGTACCCTCACCAGTCCAGAGGTCTCAGGAGGGTGACAGCCACTCCATGTACCCCAGGACAGGCCTTCTCCAGGACAAGAGTGCCACTGCCACACTTCCTGAGAGTTTTCCAATCAGCCCTGAGCTCAGGGAAACATTGGACCAGCACATCCAAAAGTGGATTACTGAACATCAGCGGGATCTGCTCTACAAGATCCAGGAGGATGCAGAAGTCACACGGGCTCTCCGTGACATGGCTCGTTCATGTCAGGCCAAGGACAAGCTTCGGCCCTCACCTTCATCCGTGTCTACAGCTGAAGGCAGCAAGGACAAGCCTTGGCCATCTCCTTCATCCGTGTCTACAGCTGAAGGCAGCAAGGACAAGCCTCGGCCCTCACCTTCATCTGTGTCTAAAGCTGAAGGCAGCCAGGACAAGCCTCAGCCCTCTCCTTCATCACTGTCTATAGCTGAAAGCAGCAAGAACAAACCTCAGTCCTCTCCTTCATCCCTGTCTGTAGCTGAAGGCAGCAGTGATGTGCAGGTGAGGTTCCAGCTGAGGCAGGACTTGGACAGGATTCTTGGGCATATTCTAGCCAAGGCCCCAAAAGATGTCTCCAGGGAATTAGGAAGCTCCCCCAGGATGGTTCAGAAGGTGATCTTGCAGAAGCCAGAGAGAAACCTGACAAGGCCCACAGAGAGGGAGAGCAGAAATGACTTACCAGAAAGCATGGATAAGAAATACATAAAAGACATGCTGAAAACCCATCTGGGAGTGAAGACAGGGCAGATGCACATGGGGATGATTCCCCTGAGAGTGTGCCAGTCCTTGCTTAATGGCAATGGTGCCTTTTCTGCCTCTGACACCCACGTGGAAACCAGAAAGCCACCATCCTCCAGAGCTCAGGAAACCTGTGTTAATCCCATCCAGAAGTTTTCGTTCTCCAAACCCAGCACCCTGCAGAACCTTGAGATGCACATCACAAGGTTTAGGGTGAGACGCAAGTGGGGTCTCCCCCCTCAAGCTCCTCAAGGCCATAAACATGATGAGGCCAACAAAGGCTCCACCCTCGCCCTTTCTGCAGTTTGTCCGTTCCTCCTCATTTGGTGGGATGTCTTGGGCTGACTTGACAATTGAGGATGCCAAGTTCCTAGGGAAACCACCTGAGGCATTTCCAGAGGAAATTGCCATCAGAGAGTCTGTCCCTACCCTGAATGATCTCTTTGTATCCTCTCTTCTGTGTAAGGAGACTGAGCAGGCCCTGCTAAGTATCCCTCTTGGTGACAGCCAGGGATCCTCAGAGGCCCCCCAAACTAGACAGAAGAGCACCGGGCCTTCACAACAACTCACACACAGCGCTGTAGGCTGAACCTGTGAGAGCAGGACCGTCCTGCAGATCAGCAGAGGCAGACTCAATGTGCCCTTGCGTCCTGGAACATGTGTGGCACACAATGCAGGAGAGCCAGGCTTGCAGGCAGACATCATGAACAAATCCGAGCATACAAAGGTTAAGTCCCTGAACAATCCTCAAGTCTATGATTCAGATGTCTACCTTCCAGATAGTTTAGCATCTGCCATGCCCCCGTGCCATCGCCACAGCACCCCTCTAGGGCAAAATCTAGCCTCACAGATGGTAGCTGGTCTAAAGACAGACAGAGGGAGAGGCATGGGCCACCAGAAGCCCGGAATCCCACAGCATCAGCATGCACAGAAGAGCCAAAGCAAGATGTTCGCCCCTGTTTACAAGCAAGAGGTCAGCTGGAGGACGAACCCAGGGAAACACAAAGACAGGCTGGGAGACTTGCGGACATTGGCTCCCACATGGGATAGGAGAACAGAAGACACCTTAGAGAAGAAAAACCAACTTCTCACACAAAAGAAACCAGTCCCCTCAGAAGGCTACATCCAAGGAAGTGTGAAGAAATTTCTACAGTGGATTTCATCTGAGAAAAAAGTCAAAAGACAGGAAGAACCACAGAAAAAAGGTACCTCAAGCATTGTCCAGAGCCAGAGGCCAACCCAAACCAGACCACGTATGAACCACAGCACTGATGAGGCTCAGCTGATCATGACTGCAGTTGGGCAGATGCTAGAAGCCAAATTGATGCTTCAACAGGAATTTTGTGCCCAGAAGGCAAACCAGAACAAAGAGAAAGAAGGTCAAGACCCACTCTCCCAGGGTTCTTGCTTCTCGGATCAAAGGAGAATGCCAGGACACACAGCCACCCCTATATCCCACAGCTGTCCTATGAGGGAGAGGTACCCCCGTGACCAAGAGTCCTTGAAAACTCGACAGTGCAGCAGTGGGCAGCAGAGCCAGAGGCTCCCCCACCCCTCAGTCCCCACCAAGCTCTCCCTGGTCAGCCCCTCCCAGCGTGGGCCCCCTATGCCTAGAGCACCAGGCCAGCATCACTGCATGAGGCACTGTCCTCTTTGGAGAGGCGTCTTGGCTGAACAACGGAGAAATTTCTCTCCTATTTTCCTCAGAAGGAAAAACCATCTCCAGGAAAATAAGGGGCTATATGGAGGAAAATGACTTTTTCACACTATTCATCTGTGATATTTACTGTATCCTAATAAACTATATTTCCTCCTAAGAAGAAATGTCTCTGTCTGCTCTCTGCTTGGTGTGGGCTCTGGTGTCAGGAAGAGACAGAGTGTAGTGAAGGGTGACCAGGGTGCAAGCTCACCTTCACCCTGAGCTGCTTCATTGATTTCTGTTTTCATCATTTCAGGAACAAAAAGATAACTCTAAAAGCTAGCCAAAGAAACCCAACCATGACCCCACCCTGGGCTCTGGTTCAACCCCTTTCCACTGCTCCCTCTGCATTAAGGCAGCTGTAGAAACCAGTGGCACAGAAACACATCTTAGTCTGAAAACTCCCCACAATTCCAGCAAGGGTGGAGCCACATGTCCCACCAGTCCCAAATGGGTAGAAGTTGCCACACCAGGGAAGCCCCTCCTGGATCTAGCAAAGGTCAGGACAGAGACGGCCTGCTTGCTTCAGTTTTGACAGAAAGCTCAGAGCCCCCTCCCTAGGGCCACGGCCCACCTCACACTCTAGAGCAGCAGTGAGGATGGAAAACCCAGCGGTGTGAGGGAGGCCCTGCTTACAGCTCATTTTTTCTGGTCAGTCTCATATACTCAGGCCCAGTCAGCATTCTGGGCAATGGAACAGGGATGTGAGGCCCAGTAACTGACTTAGTTGCTGGGGACAGTGGGGAATGTGGGAAAAAACAAAAGGCTGCAGCCCAGGCGGGAGCAGAGTGGTGCCAGGCCAGTGTGAACCCTTCAGGGGACAGGGCGCTCCCAAGTCTCCACTGCTGTCCACCGGCAGACTGGAGGTGACATCAGAGGCCAAGTCACTCCTCCTCAACCCACCCCAGGGCCCTACCTGATCCAGATCCCAGACCCAGAGAAAGCACCTTTAGCTTCCACACAGAGGACTGGGTTTGAGAAGGAGCAGAGCTTGCTGCTGAGAATCAACTTCTTATTAGCACCTTGGGGACCCTTGTGTATGTCCACATCCTGCAGACAGGATGAAATGACAGTGGGTAGAAAACACAGGACAAGAACTGAGAGTCTGGTCACCTTTACATAGGACTGTGCTAATAGAGGGTCGCCTCTGAAGAGCTGAAGGGCTGCCCTGGGGCCACACAGCCAGGCTTGCCTGGCTGGCAGTCCTGTTTGGCCCAGAGCCAAAAGGGGTGGCCATGCAGGTTTGTGCCACACAAAGGCTGGGAGTACCCTCACCAAATGTCTGCAGGCAGAGACAGTCCAGGGGGAGTCGCTGTGTCCTTACTGATTCTATCATGGGTTTCCCTTCCTGTGGGCCCTGGGCCTCATGGAAAAGCAGGAGGGCTCAAGAGGCAGGGAGAGGAGCAGCCATTCCTCCAAGAGCATTTCTTGCGCTATGTGGCACATAGCGTAGCCACAGGCACAGCGCCTAATGCCTCAATCCTGGGGTTGAGTGTCCTGCAGCAAGCACAGCTTATTCAGACAAGCAAAGACGGCCTTGCTTGTCCTGTGGGAGTGGATTGCAGCCCGGGTGGAGGCAGAAGTAGGCACCAACCCCTGGGGTCTGGGTGGTGATGCTGCAGGCTAACCTGTAGCCAAGTCCTGTCTTAGGGACCTGGATGCCTGTGTCCATACCCAGTGTGGACCCAGCCATGTGAGGAGCCAGAGCTGGCAGAAGGGGCTGGGCCCTGTGGCACAGAATGGCCCTGTTCCCAGTGGGGACTGTGACCACAGGAGGAGCTATGCCTGGGTGCTTCTGGGTGTTTTGGGTCCTAAGGTACGTTCTGGAACACAGAGGAGCTAGACATGGCTCCATAGCTTCTGCCAGGATCAGTGCCATAAGCTGGCTAGGCCGATGGGCCAGGTGGAACATGGAAGGAGAGTGTTCCTCTGTCCTCCCAATGCTCAGTCTCCACCAGGGATCATGAGGCCTGCAGGGTACACTTCCAGAGACATCTCAGATCTCCTACAGAGGCAGCTCACAGAGAACGCTCATTGCCGTGTGTGTGTGTGTGTGTGTGTGTGTGTGTGTGTGTGTTATACACTGAGATCTCTCTGTCTTCCCACAGACCCTCATATAGCTCTGAGTTCTTCTATCACCTAACAGAGAACCCCTTCTTCCTCTTACTCCCACCCTGGCCTCTGGGTCCCACACAGAATTCTCCCCAAGACCTCAACTGTTAGTCTCTCAGTGTGATCTCTCATACCCAGGCAGGAATGAGGAAAAGATAGACAAGAAGACAAAAGCTGGGTTAGGTGGTAGCAGGTCTGCATGGCTGGCAGAAGGACTCCCCAATCAGCACTAAGGTCTATATTTATGCGTTCACAAAGAAGCTTGCAAGACACAAGGCTGCCGAGTGACTAAAACCCCACAATGTCCAGGCAGGATGTTTTTTCTCAAGACTGAGGTATCTTGACTTCTTCGGGCAGTGAGGTCTCATCCTGGCCTCTCACACAGGGTCAGTTCCAGCTTCACCACCTCCACTCCTATCACTTAACAGGTTTCACAGGCTCTCCAGGGTCCTCACACAGAGACCCTCAGAGATCTTAGAAACAAACTGCAAACCATATATGGATACCTCACTCTATTAGTAACAGACACAGGGACAGGCCCAACAGAAACCTTTTGGTTGGCACAAAGACCTTCCACTCCCAGATCTCTCACTGCCTTTAAAGACCTCCCAGTCAGCACTGAACCCACTCCCCAGAGACCTTGCACACATTCAACAAGTTACTTGACAGTTGTTAGTGCTGAAACCTGAAAGAGAACCCTCAGAACTGTCAGAGACTTCCCACTGCAGGGCCCGCCTGCAGAAACCAGTCTGATAAGCTTTCCACAGAGTCCCTAACTCCAAGGGACTGCCCACAGGCTCTGGCAGGGACATCACATTGCTTCAGAGAACTCAGGAAACTCTGCCAGAGCCCTCATAGGGCACAACCTCACCACTGCCCCACAATCTTCCACAGCACCCTGCACAAGACTTCTCACAGAGATCTGTGACGCCCCACAGGCCCTCACACAGAAACCTAGTACACAGATCTTTCATACAGGGCTTCTCAGAGAACTGACAGAAAGTTATCTCCCACATAGACGCCTCAGATAGAACTCACACAGAGCCCTGCCATCCTATACAGTCCTCCCATGGAGTCCCCACAATGAAGCTCCCAGGAGACTCTACAGACCTCACATGGAAGCCTTGTAGCTGGCACAAGACCACACCTGGGATTCTCCCTAGCAATCAGACATGGAGACCTCACACAGATACCTCACCCTTACTGCTTGAGCAGCTCCTCATTGACAGACCTTTTTCAAGGGAAATGGAACCACTTAGCAAACTGGCAGTGTAGGTAAGAGTCCCACAAGTTGTGCCCCATGAGAATTCCAAGACACCCAGACATTGTCAGCAGTGCAACAGGTGGGATTCTCTGCCAGGGGAAATGCTCAAACTGTGTTTTATGTTTTCTAATGCCTTTGCCTCTGAAGAAAAATAATTATGAGTTTTGTGTGTAGCTTCCAAAATCTTTTGTTTCATAAGTTTTTGTGAACTAAATTCTCACTCACAATGAGAGAACCAGCAAGACAACTGCTTGTAGCATGAGCACAGTAAATCCTCAGATGTTTTCTGGAGCCTGGCTTTGGTGAGCTGGCTTACTAAGTGTAGGATTCAATATTGCATAAGCTTTATTTCCAGGACCAGAAACAGGCTTACAAATACCAAAATTCCAACACTCCGGAAGGCTGAGGCACGTGATGCACAAATTCAAGTCCAGCACGAGCAACATGTAAACTTAGTGATACTCTGTCTCAAAATAAAAAACAAGGCATGAGAATGTAGCGTAGGGAGAGAGCCCTGGGTTCAGTCCCTAGTACTACACACACAGGAAAAGACTAGGGAAAAAAGCCAAATACCATGTCTCCGAGAAGCTCAATAAAGAGAAGAAATAAATTGTCTCACAAGAAGCCATGAAATACTCTATTTTCAACCCTGTAAAGCAGACACATTACACATGTTCCTTTTTGGAAGCTTTAGGGAAGAATTCCAATCTTTGCTTTTTCTGGCCACTCAGGCCACTTCCATCTTCAAAATGTTCAACTCACTTTGCCTTCTGTTTCTTTCTTCGCATTTTCTCTTCTCTCACTTTGTTTCTCTTGCATAGGATGTCTTGCTACTTTGCATAGGATGTCTTGCTACTTTGCCCTGACTGTTGTGATTACACAGTGTGCTCACTAGAATCATCTAGCGCCATCCTATTTTAAAGCCAGCTGATTGACAACACTGATCCCATCTGCAATCTGAATCTCCCTTTTCCATCTAAAGCAATATAGCCCCAGATTCTGGGGATCTGGAGTTGGGTATCTTGGACAGGTCACCTTTTCTCTCCCATACCAAGGTGTGTGGAATACACGGTGCATGTGGAGAGTTGCTCCTGTGAAGATGGCTCTGACAGTGCCCCACAGGTGCTTCTGGATAGGCAGAGGATTGTCGGAGGGACAAGACAGTGAGTTTTACATAAACAACCAGAACAAGACCGATGCACCGTGTGTTGTATTTGAAATTGATGATTTCAAGTAGTTGATAAATACAAACTTCATGGTCAAGAGACACCACATCTCACTGAGAATCAGAATAATAATTCTTCAAAGATGCTGAAGCCAAAAATTACTTTTATCTCCTGGTACACAGTCCGATGTTTCCTGCATAACCTTTTCTAGATGGGTATGGTTAGAGTTGTTGCAGTGTCCCTGTCTCCTGATTTGGTGAGGGGCTGCTGTGTATTGCTTTAGCATTCTGCTGAATTCACAGGTGGCCTGCACACTACAGAGCATTTCTAAGGAGCAT